ATATGTGTATCGATAGTCGTGGTACCTCACTACAGTTCTGGGCAAGCCTTTCGTCCCAGGGAGATGACACGGGGTGATAGAATGATGTGCTGTCTTTAGTTACATTTACTTCCAAAATACTTGGTCGTCTGCTATGGTTTGCAATGTTTCTTGGAGTGTAAGAGCAGTAACGGAAGGAAAAGAGTCACTTTCATGCTTTACGTGCCTGAGCAAGTACCAGCACAGCAACTTTTTAGCTCCCATAAGTCTTAGTTCTGTGCTGGAGTTCTTCCTCTTTCCATCCTTCTCCCACACTCTCTGCCCCCGATTCTGAGCTGGAAAGATCTATTTTTATGAGTAGAACTAAAAGAGAAAAAGTGAAGTTGCAACGTGCCTGAAAGTTCAGGAAAGAAGGCACATTAAGTTACCAGCTCTTTTTTTTTCCCCTTGGGATTCGCACCCTGACCTCAGCATTGTCTCTCAGCACAGAGCCATCCTAGTGCAGCTAAGCCTTTAGGGTGTCACTGTGGCATACCTGCCATGGCATCGGGATTCCTAATTTTTATTCTGCTTGAACAAAAAATCTCATGCTGCAGTGTTGTCATTATAGAAGAATTGGCCACAGTAGTTATCTTCCTTACTTGTTTCTAAACAAATACTGTGTATTCTTCAGTCCTGAGCTGTGAAACCTCAGGCAGAATATTAACTTGTAACCACACATAATCAAGTCTTGCTTTTTGAGCTTACCCCCATTTTGGAGTAGAAGCTGTACTGCTGGTGGCGATGACAAATCAAGGGGCTGAGGCACCAGAACAAATGCACATCTGTCACTAAAGGACGCAAGTTTTCTTCAAAACATTTGCATCCCAAGTCTCTGGACAGTAAAAGTAGTTATTGGGATTTCCTGTCCCCGGGGAGTCGTTACGGAGTGGTACCCAGGGAAAACATTTGTTTTACAGATAAGTGGTGATATTTTTCAAGATGTGATCCACTCAACAAGCCTTCCAGCCAAATCAGGAGGTCCTTGATAGTCTGCCATACAGAGGAGCTGTGTGTTGGTAGTGCACTTTCTCATACCGTAATTAGGTAAAGGAGCACATAACTTTTTTTTAACAGAAAACTGTATGTGCTGATTGTTATGTTAGCTTACTGATAAACTTACCACCGACACACGTTATCTGTGCTCGCTCTGGGGAGCATCGATGCATCACCTTTCTATTCTGAAGAAATTTCCAGTGGTGTGTAATTGGCATCATTGGGAATCAAAGGGAGAAAGCAACAGGTGGCAGATGATCCTTCAGAGCTGTTCTGATGGTGCACTAGCTGGCTTGGGAGACAGCCATCCGGTTAAGTGGTGGTACGATATGAGACAGAAGTGAGGAAATGTTGTTGCTGGAGGGAAATCGCAAGCAACAGCTCAGCCACAGAGTAAAGCAAGGGTAGAATTGTAACTGGTCAGTAGCCAGGTAGAGGATGAGAGGGCAGAGAAAAGGACAGAAGAAAGGGGCATCTCATCTGCCACATAATTGCTTGCAAGCTGAAGAATTAGAAAATACAGAAATCCTTGCTTTTTGGTTTACACTCTTCCACCAAATAGGATAAACAGATTTAGCATCTAGGGTTCAAAATGTCTGTGGGACGTGACAAAGCAGGAGTTCGTCCTCACCCCTCGTTTAATGCTTTTTCTGTTTCTGTTTTAAAGTCATTATTTTCACCAACCACATGCATATATGCTTGCATAAGTTATAGCTTGATATAGCACTGTAGATTCTTCTAACGTCCAGCAGATGTATCTTGTTCCAGCCTTCTGTACCCAGGGGGTCAAAACAGCCATGGTGGAATTGCCTCTACTTTCAGTGCATGTGTGCATGTGTATGTGACAGAGCCCAGGTACCAATGCAGTTGTGAAGACTGCACTCCAAAAGAAAGCCTTCGCTTTCTTCAGAAGAAAGTCTTAAGAAGTCTAAGAAACTTTGGGAGAAAGTCTAAAATTCCTCCTTCCTTTCCACTCCCCGATGATTGAAAATGGGCTTCAGGTTTGACAGAGGAGCTTTTCAAGGGAGAACTGAATTTTCCAGGGAGTGGCTTAAGGAGCACAGCCAGGTGATGTTTTCTAGTAGTGCCCTTTTTGGAAGTTCCCCCCAGCCTAAGAAACAAGAAACCATGCCACACATAAGAGGGGCTTCTATGCCTTTGCTGTGGCAAGTTAGTGAATGCTGCTCTAACCCACTAGCCCTGCTAGACTGCACCTTTCTTGTAGGCGTCCTTGACCTCTGTTCTACATATTTTTTCATCACTCCCTGTGCTCATATTTCTGCTGCTCTTATCCCCTAAAACAGGTCCCAAAAATTAAAGGCCAGGAAAAAGGATAAAGGGGCGACTGGAGTATTTTACCTGGAGAGCTGCATGTTGCCCTTAGAGGACAGCATTGTCCTGGCTCACCAGAGGAGAAACCCCATCTGCCTCTGCAAATTCAGGGTGATGCTCCAGAGGACAAGCTTTTCCCACAGCCGTTGGGAATGGGAGAAAACCCTGTGTTGGCTCAGGATGCAGCTGGAGATATTTGGATTTGGGGGCAGGGAGAGGGGAACACTGGGGAGTTGTGGTTCAAGACCACTGATAAATGGAGATGTAACTGGAGTGCTTGCTTCCCCACCTGATACAGTTTTCATTGCTATGAAGCAGCAGGCTGCTAACTCAGGGCTAACAGAGGCTTTTTGTGGTGAGACAGAAAGTGAGAGTGTGTGGTTCTATTACAAACTTTAATGGGGTAATTTGAAGGCAGGCAGGTTAAGACTTTGATCTACTTCTTTTCATTTTTTAATCCATTTGCAAAGTCCATGTAAACAGCTGTGAAAATGGAGCGTGGTTTGGTTCTGCTATGAGCAGATTTCACCTCAGCATTGCGTCTGTCTCCTAAACATTGGCACTGTCTGAAGGACGGGTGTCCTCACGAAAAAATGTCGGGCAGTGCCACTACCACAAATGATGCTCATCATCATCCATCCTCCAGTTTTTTCTCTTACCACTTTGTTTCATAGTATAATATTTTACATACATTTTTAATTTAAACGTTAAACTACTCTGGTACTTCATCAGGAGTTCTGTGCTTGTTTACTTTTAATTAATAGCTCCATTCAAAGTCAGCAAGACTTCTCACACATGCTGAAGTTAAGCCCATGCTCAGAATAACTGGCAGCTGCATGAGAGTGAGCTGGCTTGCTGGGCTGCGGCACGTGGGACCCAAGCCTTGCCTTCGGATGAGGTTGTGCTTTGGGAAGTCACCCATTTCCAGCCCCCCCTGGTGCAGAGGCTTTAAGGAGAAGTAGAGAAAAGGGCATGCACTCATTTGAGCTGCATACAAGCCACTAGCCAGGTTTTACTGGGGGCTCCCAGGGCTGTCTGGGTATCTTCTGCTGACCTTGTTATGGCCATCAGGACACACTCACCAAATGGAGTCCTTGCCACGCAGTCACATTAACGAACGGCTAGCGTTAATTTGCCCTTTGAAAATGAAGGAATCAATATGTTGATCCAGTCGGAAATCCCTTTATTCACAAAACAGTCTACCCCAAACCCCTCCACATAATTAAGGCTAAAGCCAAATTTTGTTTGGGTGAAACGCACAATCTGTCTGCTCCCTAAGCTGTGCTGAATGAAGTTCTCCCCTAATGGCACAGGGAGCAGCTGTCATGCTGTTGCTCTAATAACCATGAGACAAAATGATTAAATTTCCATCAATCATTTAGCATTATCAGAATAGGTCATTTTAATAAAATGTTATCATAGGATCAGTGCCTGGCACCTTAGAAAGGAGAGGGGCAGTGATGGAGAGTCATCTCGTGACGGCCTTTGAGTCATCCCCCTTGCAGGAGATGCTCGTCCAAATTAATCCAGCAGTCCCACTAAAGCCACCATTTTTCATGAGGGTGCCTGATACCAGGATCTTCTGAGAGTAAGGACATTCCTGTAATCACCTCAAATGGCTTTTTGGTTTCAGCAAGTGTCCCCTTGTTCTTGCACTGTATAGAAAAATCACCGACCATTCATCTTGAGGAAAATCCTCAATGGGTTGTAAGAAGTGTGGGGAACTAAGCCCTGCTTTCAGAAGCCATTTCAAAGCCAGAAGTTACGTGCCCAGCAATGCGGATGGCTGCCAAGTGGGCTTTCTGTAAAAGGATTTCATGGGAATGTTTAAATGTACATACTTCCCAAAACCCTACTTGGTGCCTGTCTGTATTTTTAAGCCACAGAGTACCTTTAAAAACCTGGCCCCTTGGCCCCCTTAGTTGAAATGTTCATCTGTTTTCAGTGTTCTACCTACATACCATGTCCATTTGTACTCATCTCCATGCTGCATCCAAGGCATCTTTCCAGCATCTGTCCCTCTGCAGAGAAGTTTCATGGCTACAGAATAAGCTGGACCCTAACCCTGTTTTTAAAGCCGGGTGGACCCTGTCTGTTGACAGTGTGTCGTACAAGCAGGAAAACAGAGAACTCCAAAGTCCAACCCAAAATTCGTGGCTCCTTACTGCTTCTCTTGAGCAGCCTCCTTTGACTGTCCTTCAAGGGTGGTGGTCGATGTCAGACGCTGATGGAAGATTTGTCCAGCCTTTTGGTGATGCTGAGAAAGGGTGATCATGGAAAATGGAGAAAAGATGGATGATCCTTCTGTGCTTCACCTGGAAATAACCCTTAACAAATAGATGATGCACTGGATTTCTGTAAATCCAACTCGGCCATTGTTTTTCTTTGGAGAGAGGGTTTTTGCTTTCCTGCTTGGGAGCCAGCAAAGAAGCGCGCTCAAACCTTGGGAAGGGGGAAACATTTTCAGGCAGGGTCACAGTGCAACTTATTCCTTGCTGTAAGTTTGAAGTTTCTGGGTGCAAACAAATCAAAATTACTTGTCAGAGTAAGCTGTTGTTGGGTTTGGAGGTTTGCTTGGTTGCCTTTTTTGTTGTGGTTTTTTCCTACGTGCAGCAGTCTCACTGTCTTGTCTTCTTTTTCTTCTTCCTCTCCAGGCCCTCAAACTGACACGAGATGTAGAGAGAGAACCCTTTGCCAAATCTGCTGTCAGCAAGTGGACAGTGATACTGTTTACAGCTTACGACCTTTGTGAACCCTGCATTATTTTCCTAACGAAGCAGACTGTTAATAGGCCCCTTACCGGAGTGAAGATCCTCCTTTTTTTTTTTTTTCCTCTTTTTTTTTTTCTCTTTTTTTGGGGGGGGAATTGAACTAATTCTGAAGTATGCAAAATCTTCCTTTTCTGGGATGGCCAAGCACTTGCTGTGGAGACAATGTTCAGCACCATCCTGTTAAGAACGCACTGTGTAGCCTTTACAGTAGTTACTTGTCAATGAGTATGTGGTGTTTCAATATATTAATGGTTTATGGGATGTTTTAAGTTGGCTTTCTTTTTTGGAGGTTTTCCCTGTCTGCGCACCCTCCCCCTACAACCTCCAGGTTGATTTCCTTAGATTTTTGACCATTTTTGCTTTCTCTCCCTGGGAAATCTGAAGTACTGTGCACGTGCCAGGAAATGATCATAACCCAACACTGCTCAGACGTCAGGGTTTTCTGAGTATACAGCGTTTGTTACACCGATCAACCGGCTGAATTCCAGAGAGAGGTGATGTGTGTGGTCTGTTTGTTTGTTGGGTTGGTTTGTTTCTTTCTTTCTTACTCTTTCCTTAAATTTAATGGTACACCCCCCGTTTTCCATAAGCGTCAAACCAGGGTTGATTGCAAAACAAGGGAAGCCGGCGAGTTTGCCTCTTGGCTCGTGAGGATGGACTGACAGCGGGTGCCGTTGCCCGCACGTGCACTGAGGCAGGAGCCCGTTTGCTCCCCACCAGAGCAGGCTCCCCTCCTGCCTTATGGTAGCTGCAGCAAGCAGGTGAGGAGTTATAAGCGGAGCTGCCAGACAAGTTGAACATAGCCAGTTGTAAAGATGTGTTTGAAAAAGCGAAAATTAAGGGAAATACGTCACTTCGCAGAAGAGCTAAATGTAGAGGCTGGGCATCGGCAGGTGACTTGCAGTGGCAACGCCGGGAGTTGAGGCACAGGTCGTTGCAGGGTGTGTTACTGCATCAGTGATCCTTTTTTTGTTGTTGTTTTGGACATATCCTCGATTATTTTTTCCTTCTCATTGTGTATAACCTGTTGTGGCAGAAGAAGCAGGAGAGGGAACGGCAAGGCGACAGTATCATACAAATGGCTTTTCATAGGAGCATAGATTGTAACAGGATAAATGACACTGAAAGACAAGGCAGTTTTATATATTTTGCTTCTAAGATTTTCTTTTGTAAAATGAATAATAATTAATAATAATAATGAATAAAAGGTATGGTGCTGTATAGGTCCTCTCTATAATCTGGAAAGTTTGATTACTTTTTATTAGTATTTTGGGGAGGGAGGGATACAAAAAAAGAGGGGAAGACAACAATGGTACATAGGAACTCGGTATGAAGAGGTTCTGAATAGGACAGTGTATACATAATTCTCCAAAGCGATATATGAAGTTTTTTTCTTTGCATAAAAGCATTATGCATATAAATATATAAATATATTTTATTATGTACAGAAACGGATCATTATGCATGGATGTTAGGAAAACAAACTAGCATTTTAACCCAAAGTCTCAGTGCATGAGTTCCCACCAACCCGTGTCCCATGCAATGTGGAGTGACTCCCTCTCCCCAGTGCCACCGCACATGCACAGTCATGCGCGCGTGCGCACACACACACACACACAGAGACACACACAAGCATTCGTGGGCCCTTCCTCGCTCCTTACTTTCCAGGTCCCTGAGGTGACATTGGTGAAACAACAGCTCCTAGTGTGATGGAAGTTTTGTTTTTGTATCGTAGCCCCCACGCTGTTCTCTCGTAAAGATGCATCTCTGGGTTTCTCCCCGCAGTTAGGACCGTGTAGACTCTGTGCAGTTGTGGTTATCGTAGCCCTGTAGCGTATCAACTCTTCCAAGCAGCCAAGGGTTTATCATTTGCCTTTTAAAAAAACTTCTCTTTTCTTTTTACACCGAGATGGTCTATTTGTCAGCGTGGGGAGTAGTTTGTTACATTTATCGGAGTTAGCCGATGCTCATTGCCCATCTCTGTCAGCAGCCAGCCACCCAGGACGCTCGCGTGGGGCAGTGGTCACCTGGGCTAGAGGTCCCTTTGCTTATCGCAGTCCAGCTGCAGGCACCTTTTACCAAAATTGCTTGAGAGCTTGATCACCAGCCTCCTCCGAGCGCGTAGCATTCGCTCTCAGCTTCCCAGTACACCCCACAACGCGAGCGTAAGCTGAAGGACTTCCCTCCGGTGCTCCTCTCCCCGAGGCTCCTCTGCGGCTGCTGCCCTGCGGCGGGGCTTGTCCCCCTGCCCGCGGTGTCGGCTGCCGGCAGAGCCCGCTCGGTGCCTCCCCGTGCCGGGGCGCAGCGTTTGGCCCCTGCCCGAGTGAGCCTCTGGTGAGACCCAGGGTGCCTGCCCGAAGACCACCGACCAGGTCACAGACAGCACCGGTAAGGCCTGACTTGACGGTATGGCCAAGGTGACCGAAATCCATCCTTTTTTTTTTTATTTTTTCTTGGTACGGCTGCAGTTCTTGTGAAAGGCAAGGGAAGGCGCATTAGCTTAAAACAAATGGGGGCAACTTCTGCTCTGCTCCGGCAGCCTAGCCCCACTGAGTTCAACAGAGCTAGCTCCTGCTGGCAGAAATGAGGGAGAACGCTGTGGTCTGCTCGGTTCAGAAAATGGAGAAAAAACACTTGATTTAGAGACAGCCCGTCAATGGCAGAGAAGGGTTTTTTGGTTTTTTACATAAAAGCATTAGCAGCTGAAAGGCTTAACTGCCTCTCGGCAATGTCAAGGAAAGCATTTCCATTGGCGTGGCTGGGACACCTTGGGCCCCTGCTTTGGAGAACATCCTAGCACTCGCTGGAAAGGGGTGGACTTGGCCAACCTCTTCGGTTTGGTTTGGTTTCTGTTGCTCGTTTTTGGGGCCAGAATTTTCAAACGGAGGTGCCTGGTGTCAGGCACTGGACGTCGGGGGCTCCTGCTCGTCACAGGGGGCGAGTTCCTCTGCCCTCGTGGCTTCTCGAAGGAGGGAGAGGTGCCAGGTCCCCCCAGGCCCAGGGGAAGGACACCACCCTCTGCACCTGCTGAGGTGCCCAGCAAATCCCCTCCTCTCCAGAGGTGCTACATAAATCTTGCTGAATTCAAAGGGCCGCTTATTTAGGTGTCAAAATACAGACTTGAATGGCTAATTTGGGGAACCTACCTTTTGAAAATTTGGCCTTTGAGTCTTTGAGCATGTTTATGCCTAGAATTTTTCCTTCTGAAACCATGTAAAACAGATGATTGTCCAGAACAATTCCATAGTTATCGTTTAAACACTTGGTCTAAACAAAAGGTCTAAAAAGGTGACATTTATGCAGTTCCTAGTCACAGGTTTGGGGCTTGATTTAATGATTTTTGTAAAATGATTTTCTCTTGAGAATAATTGGGTAGTTGACCACTGCTTAACTCCAGAAATTTTTGTGCCACCGCTTCAAAAAGTTACCTTTTAGGTCATGTTTTTCTCTAAAATTATGTCATTGCTTGGCAATCGGTGTCCTGTAAGTGTTTTCTAGTACACAATATACCTTAGGAATTGCCAACAGATGTGAAGGGGGACCAGATACATTTCGTTACTATGGGTTGGAAAAAATGGATTGTACATTTGGCTTCACATGTTTAACTTTTTTTTAAAAAAAGTTGCATGATTGGAAAAAATATGTATACAGTATCTGTAAAACTGTTTTATCTGTTTTTGTTTCAAGCCATGTAAATTGGAAGAATATTAAATCCACAGCCTTATCGCGCATGGCCGTCTTTACATACCGAAGAGCTGAACAGTTTATACTTTTCATTTGGGCTATCTTGTACTTTCATTTGAAAGCAGACACTCTCATGTTGCAGTCTTACTGAGGATTTTATATTTAAAAAAAAGAAAAAAGATGCTGCCCTGGAGGAATATACTACCTTACTACACAGAGGTTGGAAGGAAGTTTGTTTTGGAGCAAAACCTGCCCCTTTCCAAACAAAGTAGAGACGCAGTGCTTACTCCACTTGGTGTTAGTAGATATTGCCTTGTGTATTCCATTTTAAATTGTAATCTAGTTTGTAAAAGAGATGGTGACGCATGTAAATAAAGCATAATGGATCTCTACATTGCACATTTGCCTTCGCTCTGTTCTGTTGTGTTGTGGACAGACATCTAAATGCAGGACCTGGAGAAGGGGTGACTTCTGAGCAGTGGGTGAAACCGGCTGGTGGGTGGGTTGGGGTTGGGGCTGGGGCGGGGGCCTGATCCTGCATCCACTGGAGTCTGTAAATGCGTTATTTATGTGGCCCTCTGCCTTTCAGCCCTTCAGCCAAGCCAGCGTAATTTTGGCAGTCAAATAACCCCCAATGGGATCATTTACTGCTGCTAAAAATCACAACGTTCACTTTATTGGGGGGGAGCGGGAGGGTTGTCCCCTGGGATGGCAGCTGCACCCTGCAGCTGCAGCCCAGCTCACCCATCCTGGGAGACAACCAGCCCAACTGCAAGTCGGTCAGGAGAAAAGTACACCCCCCCCCAGCCGCCGTGGGCTTGGCTGGGTTTCAAACTGCCTCTGAAAATGCCTGGAGTACTTGAAACCACCCGTTCGGGATTTGGGATAAGAAAACCAGCAGCCTGACTCAGCAGAAAGTTACACCAAGGGCTCTGGCCACGGCACAGGAGAGCGTGCTCAGAAACGTGAGACATGTCGACAAAAAACACTTCTCCCACCCTGACGGGAAGCCACAGATGTATATGGGTTTTTGGAATCATTTTTCAAGAGCAAATGGTATTTTCAAGAAAGAGGAGCCTTTTTGTGCAGCAGGGAGGGGTTTCCCATGACTCCCGGGGGGCGACGACCGCTGTGTCGTCCACGCAAAGCCCATGGGGGCGTTGCGCTGAAGTACTGCAGTATAAAGAGCAGCTTAGGGATATCCCTTGTTCAATAGAGCAAGAGCTGTTCAGGCTTTGTCCTAACTAAAGATAGCCTGAAATATTACAAGATCCAGTCAGAAAATAGCCTTTGACCAGGATGAAGCGTGCGTTAGCCTTCCCAGAGTGAGAGCACGCTTGTCCTGCAGCAATTACAGCTTCTCGGAAATGGAGCAGTTTTGCTTGATTTTTCTGAAGGCTCCTCCGACAGTTGCTCTGGCGGGGAAGGACCCGTGTCCTCCGCCTCGCTGGCATCGCCCCACTGGTATTTAGGACAAACGATGACAGCGTTTGGCCCGGCGAGGTGCCAGGTGGAAGGGCCTCAGCTTTGACCTGAATTTAAGCAGGGGCAGCAGCAGCGATGACGGCCTGATCAAATCCTGCGCGAGTTTTGTGCTGAACCTACTTGGTGGTGTTGTGCAATGCCTTAGCTGTGACCTTCAGTTTACCCGGCCTGGGAATAGATCATTCTTATCTTTCAGAATACTTTCAAAATAAGTCCAAACATTTTAAACTTCTCCAAGTTGTCCCAGAAGACAAAAGGCTTTTCGAGCTGCTGCCGAGACTGGTGAGGCAACCGAGAGCTATTTTGGGAGCTCCCCACCGCATATGCTGAGTTGCGAGTTTGACCAGACCAGGGAAAACAGTATTTTACAGCTCTTGTTTGGCTACTGCTGCCAAGGAAGTTAGGGGTGCTTTCAAGAAGATTGAGATAAGCAAATCTGGGAGGCTACTTCTTTTTCTGGTGGAGTCATCGTGACGGGTATCTCCCCATTCAAAAGGAGGGCTTCTTGGGTGAAGTGGAGCCCAAGCCAGATGGAGTAGATACCGCTCTCGCTGGTGCACAGATTCATCCCACT